GCAAGCGCCCCCCTTTCTCTTTCTCTCTCTCTTTGTGTGTTTCTCTTTCATCCTTCAGGACACAAACCTGCAAGTGCGCTCGTTTAACTCAAGCTGCCTCGACTTGCAACGTGAGTCTGTGAATTTGCAGGAACATTTACAGGTCTGGGGATCTTGTACAAACAAGTGCTTTCTCCTCTCTGAGCAAGGCTCACAGTGACTGCAAAAAGGCAAAAGGAAAGATGTCTAAGCTACAGCGCTTCAGCAGAAAGAAAATACACATGCAACACCCTAAACATCAAAGCAATCCCCTTGCCCCCTCCCACAGCCCCCATGCTGCCCACTGGAGCGTCACAGGCTGATGGATATTCCAGCAGCACCCTGGCAGCCCCAGGACAGCACCCCCCTGCATTAGCGTAAAGAGAAAGAAAACAGGCTCTCTGCACAGTATTCACAAATGCTGCATTGGATCCATCGGCACAGGCCAGAGGGAGGAAGAAGGGGAAAGCGAGGACGGGAAGGTGAGAGGTCCCAACCAGTTATTGACCTATCAGTGAAAGGAGTTCTCTGAAGTGGCCTATTCGAGTAGAAAGAGGCCAGCGGCTAAACGAGCTAAATATACAGGGTCTCTCCTCCCCTGGAAAGCAGCTGGGCTCCAGCATCACGTGCTTACCCCTGCAGCTGGCACTGCTCTCCTTTCAGTAAGACCCATCCCAACCTTGCCACCTAGGATTCTCTTACTGAGGGGCCGTGAATTTACAATGCAGAATTCTGTGAACTACCGTGAGAGAGGCAGAGCAAGAGATAGAGAGAGAGACGCCACCAAATCCAGCAGAGAAAGAGAGAAAAAAAGAGAGAGCCCTCCCCAGTCCCCCAGTACCTCCCCTCTCCAGCTTCCCACCATCCCACCTCTCCTCTCCACCTGTGACTCCACCAGACACGCACACACGCGCGCGCACACGCACACACACACGCATGCATGGCAGACTCCAGCCTGCCTGTCACCAGTCACCGTAGCAGTGAGGGCACAAGACGAGTGGGCAAAAGCAGATGACAGAGCTGCAACTGTAAGGCCTGGAAAAGAGGTGCAGGGCACTCGCCCACCCACCCGCGATCTTGTGCCTTGGGAAAATGTTTGCTGCTGATGATTAGAGAGCCAAGCAAGCTAAAGCCACCTTCCCTGAGATAGCCTTAGTGCCACAGCAGTGCCACCACCAGTGTTGCCCCTGCAGGACCTGCAGCCCACCAGTGACCAGGAGCAGAGGGTGAGATTTTGAGTAAGCAGCAAGCAGGCGGTTTGGTTTGGGGAGAGGGAGGGAAGAGAGTCTACAAGCAGAGGACACAAACGTACAAGCTGAGTGGTTTGTACCGGCCTTTCTTGCGCTTTCTCTTTTGACCCTTCCCCTTTCCTCGTTTTGATTTTCTGGAAGAAAAACAAAAAAAACAGAGAGAGAGAGAGAGAGAGAAGGAAAGAAAGGGAGAGAGGGAGAGAAAACGGAAGAAAATGCAAGGAAGAAGAGAAAAAAAATACAGCCATGTGCCTTGCTGGGAGGGGGGAAGCACATGAGGCAGGACTGGAGGGCAAGTCCCAGGGCCAAAGCACAGATCTCCACCTCACACACACATTCACTGGCCCTCCTGTGCTCCTGCCAGCACCACAACCAGCCTGCCCACAGCCAAGCCAGCACCAGGGACCTGGCAGGGACCACCTCCAGCAGGGCTGCTGCCAGCAGAGGTGGATCTGCTGAAGCCTCAGAGGGCCACCTGCCCCCTCCAGAGAGGGGCAGCGGGAAAGGGACAGGGGGTGAGGAGGAAGGCACGGAAAGCTTCGTGAAGCATCACGCAACCGCAGTGAGTGCAGACAACCATTCCAGGCGACAAACACGGGTGCACACTGACTGACAAGAGGCAATCTGAGTGCAGAGGCTCTCCCCAGGGAAAAGGAAACCACTCTGACCTGACACACTGCCCAGCACCGAGCCTAGGACGGGGCAGTTGAGCTCCAACAGGCTTTGGGATGGGAGCAAAGGGGGCCTGGCCTCAGTACCCCACAGACAAGGGGAGAGACCGGGTCTACCCAGCAGTGCTGTCTGGGAGGGGGCTATCTAGCCCGAAGGCTCTGCTCACTCACCCCACCTCCTGCCTGTGGTTCAGAGGACTCCATGAGACCTCACTGGATGTCAGCTAACATCCCCTCTGGCAGCCTCCATCCTGAGTACTGAAGGAGAAAGACGGGGGCCTGGCCTAGTTATGACACCCAGGAGATAACCAGCAAGCAGATTCCAGATCTTGCCTCCTTTCCCTCCCTCCTCTCACCTTCCACATGGATGTGCCAGACAGACAAGTGGAAAGAGCCAAGGCACTGACTCTCTTCTGAAAAATTCACCAGTTGCTCCCGACTCTTGAGCAGGAGCTGGGACAGGTAAGGGCTAGGACATGCAGGCCTGGTCACTAATCATGGATCCCTACAGGCCAGTGAGAGCACAGGGAGGGAGGGAGGCTGGAGCCTGCACGGCTCCTTGAGCCACGTTAAGCACAGGACCAAGGGAGGGACATGCAAGGAGAAGGCCCTAGGCAAAGCACCAGGGCTTGTCAGGCAAGTGAGCCCAGCATTGTGGCAGTTCAGCAAAGGCTCCCTCCTTCCCTGGCGCAGCCCACCTTGGGAGGGAGCTGTCAAGGGGACATGGGGGGACAGAAGGGAAAGCACCATAGGTGTTTCTTAAGCCCTGTTCAAGTCGTCTCACTGGAACGAGTCTCAGAGCATCAGCTCGCTCCCAGCCTCTGCCCTACATGTCAGGAGTCACAGGGAGGCGGTGAGGGGAGGAAAATCGACCTGAAGGGAGGAGAGGGGCACCAATATAACAGGACTTTCAATCCAGCACAAATCAAAGCACACCAGTTTCTCCCATCCCTTCCCTTCCTTCCCCGGGGAGTGCAGAACCAGCAAAGAGCAGGCAAGGTGCTGTTAGAAGAGGGAAAGGAATGCAATGCAGTCTGAGCTGGCTGCTTCACCCACACCCCATCCTCACCAGAGTTCACACAGACCCAACTCTCGCACACCTTCAAACCACAGAGCCACGCAGACCGACTGTCCCCGACACGACCCTGCACAGAGAGAAGTGCTGGCTGCATGCAGCCCGATGCAGTCAGGAGCAGATTTCCAGGGGGAGGAGGAGAGGCTGGAAGGCAGCTAGAAATATACAACCACCAGGACAGGGGTGAAAGAAGTTCTCTCACTCTCCCACTTGCTCTCTCTGCTTCAGCCTCATCTCCCAATGTTCAGCCCCTTCCTGTCCAACTCCACACCTCTAAATGGCAGAGTCGCTATCCCAGCCATGCACAGTCCAACTGACCCTCTCACCCAGAGAGGTCACTCTTTCTTTTCAACGTTGTTCCACATTTTGTGATCATCCCTGCGACTACTGCAGGACGAGAGCTTATTTCTCTACTTTCCACAACCTTTTCACTTTGGGGAGGAAGGAAAGGGAAGGTTGTGCCTTAACCTCTTTCAGGTCACCAGAGCAAATCCATCAGATTGAAAAAAAACTCTCATTAAAACCTCCACCAAAATCCAGCTAGGACATTCATCTCCCTTTACACCCCCCCCCGGGCCCCCACCCAACCAAAACCAGCATCACATCCTGCATGGCATCAGTCCTGCCTCCACCAGGCCTCTATTGCCACCTCTCCCTCTGGCCAGCAGAGTTCCTACCCAAGCTGCTGTGAAAAGAAGCCAGCAAGTACTCACTCAAGCAGCAAGAAGAAAATTAATAATAAAGAAAGGCAGCTATTTGCAGTAACCAGAAACACCCCAGGAAGAGGGAAGGGAGAATGGGGGCTGCACCTTGAATCCATTCTGGTAGGACACACACGACGGGACTTCCCTGACTCGGGATAACACATTAGGAGTGACTGCCAGGGCCATGGGTCATGCAAGCTCCAGGTCTGGGGTATGAAGGAAGGACCGTCAGATCTGGGTTTCTGTGCCCACCTGGAATGGATTCAGAGTGTCGCCCCATGCACTACCATATGCCATTTCCAAAAACACCTTCTTAAAGTGAGTATGTTCAACCAAAGGAAAAGGTAAGGGGCAGCGGGGAGAGGAAATGCCAACCAACCACCAAAAGAGAAAGGAGGAAAGGCTTGTCACTTACTTTTCTTGTTTGTTTTTGACATCTTTCTTTGGTCTGTGGAGGAAGAGAGAACAAAGGCCTCATTAGAAGGGAGCTTACCACATATGCTTCTAGTATTATCCCCAGTTCCCGCCAAGTCCAGGGAAGGACATGTACAGCTGGTACTGCCGGATGCCCATGGCACAGGTTTAGCAGTCCTTCTCAAAGTGTTTGCTCTTCTGTTGCACCTCGCTGGCAGCCAGTGCCAAAAGACCCCAGCTGCAGGCTAGCATTGTCCACCTGTGATATCTAGAGATGGAGGAGCCTCGCCAGCAAAGGACTTCTTTTCCCAAGCTCAGCCATCCCACTGCAAACCAAGTGAGGAGACTGCAGAAGCCTCTGGAAAACAGTCCCAACCCAATGGCAGAAAAAAGGAAAGGCTCAGAATAAGTTTATTGCAAGAGGAACCAGTGCTGCTCCATTCTCACCTGCAGTCACATTTACTGTGCTGTAAGAAGCTCATGTGCGCTATGTGCTGACTCTGATGGGGTTTAATTCTCATGATCTGGAATGAAAGAAACAGAGAGGGTCACTGCCTATTCACTATTTATATTCACAGCTCCAAATCAGCCCGCTGCATGGCAAAGCGCTTGCACCTCAGGAGCTCCTGGGAAGAGCATGGCAGAGTTTGGGCTGGCTTTGAAGACCCATTCTCCCAGTCAGAGAATGCCTTTAATCACAAGCAAGCGACAACACCAGCTTCGTGCCAAAGCTCTGTTTGCTCATGCATGTGAGGTGCCAGCACTGGTGGACTGCCTTGGAGACAGGCATGGGAGAGGGCATAACACCACAGCAAGGTTCTCACTGAGCCATCCCTGGTCAATGCTACAGATATAGTAAGGGAGCATCCAGCCTGCTCTGACACAGAAGCATGCTCCAGTCTAATGCAAAGGCACAAAGCAAAAATTCTATATTGGACTCCTTTTCCCTAAGCCACCACTCCTTCCCAGCTGACATCTCATTTTCTCAGAGACTCAAGACACAATGTAAATCTGCTTAAAAGAGCCCTGCAGAGCCAGACATTGCCCAGCCTCCAGGCCCACACGCTTCCAGGGGAGTCATATTAGAAGCTATGCACGTATTTTCACAGTCTCTCAACCCAGAACCTGTCTGGACGACTAGCTCTAGCGTTTGCACCAGAGGTCTGCTCAAGCGCCTCTGACCCTTTACAGGCACGAGGGCATAGCAGCCAAAAACTGCAGTTCAGGAAGGAATGGTAGGAAGAAAGCCATCCCCAGCTACACCATGCTAGTACGCTCTGGCCCAGGCTGGAGCCTGCAAGTGGAAAAGCAGTATCAGGAGCCATGGAAGGCCACAGACAGGTTCTCCACCAGAGTTCAAACACTGCCCAAATGACAAGTAAAAAGAGCTTGCTGGTTAATCACTTAATCCTGCATGACTCTCATCCGTATCAAAAAGTGATAGCAATATTTATAGTAGCCATTCAAGAGGCTGAGGGACCAAAGTAGGTGAGGGAGCTATGGGCTAAGGGTAATGGGCACCAGCACCATTGTGGACACAAGCTGGGATCCAGGCTGGCAGACAAGGACAATGACAAGGCTCTCTAAAGCAGAGTTTGCATCTACCCCACCCAGCCTTTGCTATCAGGGCCATCTCTGTCTCTTCCAAGGAGTGAATTCAGCAGCCTCCAAACAAAGGAGGAGGATGCCCAGAGGCAGAAAGGCTTTTCCACTTGACACTGAAGCGGTATCTTTCTTAGAGCCCCTTCCCACCCCTGCTGTGCCCATGTAGCTAATGACCCAAATCCCTTGCTCTGTTGGTAAAGGCTGACCTCACATGCCCTCCGGGAGAGAGTACTGACAGCCCTTCCCCTCTTGCACTGCTCAGCTGCCTTCAGAGCAAGAGCTCTGCGGACCAAATGAAGAGTTAAGGTGGAGCAAGGGCCCAAGGTGTATCTTCTTTGGGGCCTTAGAGATAACAGCATCAGAAATGCTCCTTTGCATTCTCTGAGCACGAAATGCTCCTTTGCAGAAATGCTCCTCTCAACACTCCTAGCTAAAGGTCAGGGCCAAAAATCAGATTCTCTTGTTAGCTTTGAATAGAAACAGGCAACTCATCTTTTAAACCTGCATGGTGTAATGCTGGGCACACGGGTCAGGAGAGAGGTGAGCCCTCATGATCCAACAACCTCCAGTTCCCTAGGGTAGGCTGCCCTTCCTCTGACTTAGCTGGGAGCTGGGACTTGGGAGTGGCTGTGGTGGATGACTTGCTTCCTCCACCCAAGCACGCCAGCTTGCAAGCTGGGCCCTCACCTCCATCGTGACGTTGTACACATCCACAGGGACACATTCTAGGCCCTCATCGCCGCAGCAACCCGCACATCTCATCAGAGGCACACAGGATGGCTTGAATATGTACTCCACCTCATCAGGGTACTCCTGGAAAATGTCCACCAGGGTCTCAATTGTCCTGCAGAAGCTGCGCTCGTAGACTTCCAGGAATTTGATAACTAAAAGGAGGAACGGAGGGAATAAGTTAATGCAAACTTAGCTCAAGAGTATCTAATGCTTTGCCCTTTAAAACACGCCAGACAGTTGCAACACGTCTACCCTGTGCTCTTCACCAACAGTCTTACAGGCCTCAGTCCTTTGTCTCTGCCCTACACACACACATGCAAATCAAGTAGGGTAGAGAGACAACCTCTTCCTACCCCTGCTTCAGGGAAGAATCAAAACACACAAGAGAGCCTCGTTATTTGCCTCCCTGGCACCATAAAGGTGCCTCCTCCCCAAATTCCTTCCCTGCTACCCCCCATACTCTCACGTATGCTACCACTGAGCACATTAACTCAGGCAAAAAAGCACCTGAGGCTGTTGCAGATGATCTGTGCTCTGGATTAAGGCCCTTCACCAGTTTGCCTTTTACCCCCTTTCAAAACAGCCAGTGGGTGCCCCAGTGGGTTTTAGAAGGCAAAAGGATAAGCCAGAAGCACCCTTTCTATAGACCTCGGCACAGAGACACTTCCGAGAACAAGAAGAGAGTTCTGAACCATGCATCCACCTATCTTCACTCTTCCCATCAGCTGACTCCTTCACCCATGCAGAAAATCTACTTCAACAGGCCACCTCAGAGCCGTGACAGCACCTGCTACAAATCACAGCCTCCACGACTCCACACCAACCACTTTCCCAGACCAAGGAATCAAGGCACTCAGTGAAAGATTCAAAGCAAGCTCACAACACCCCCAGGATTAACTAGACAATATACTTGGCTACCGAACCACAATGAGGCAGTGTGGGAGGGGGAACAGGGTGGCTCTGCCATTATCCCCTGCCTCCCCTCCGAATGGAGCAAACACTAACTGCTTGCGATCTGCACGGATTTCACAAGCGTTTCCCAATGTTTCCCAGTCTCTTGCCAAAGCTTCATTTTGCTGCTTGGTCAAGGGTTGGAGAGATTTAAAGAGATGAGAGATAGGATAGATAAGTACACATGCACAAAACCCAGCTGCTAGTACAGCTCTGCAAACAGCGAGTACCTGGAGCCCTCCAGGCCTCCTAGCTCTACCAGCACGCAGGCAAAGGAGGATGTCTCAAATGGAGCAGAGGAGAAGAGTAGGCACAAAGAGATAGTTCCTGCCCCACGCTGTTATGCACCGTAATGATCCACCTGTGCCGTATGCAGAGTCCTACAGCACCAAGGTTGATAACTCTGAGTGATAAGCACAAACTGCTTGCATCATGGAAAAATATGGTCTCCAGTAAGCGTTTCTAAAGTGCCCTGAACTTGTGACAAACTGGCATAAAGGTTACTTTGCCACAAAAATGCAAAAGCTGCAGGGCTTGGAGCTCACAGCCCGCAGTTAATTGTTGAAAGTTAATTCTAGGTCATGCAGAGCTGACAGTGCCACAGTGCTGAGAGCGGGTACAAGAGGGGAGGAGCTTCCATCCAGGGAGTTTGAAGTGTCAGAGAGTGTGAGCAGCTATTAAAAGAGAAAGTGGCTTGTGAAAGGGAAATGTAGCCTGGCAGGCATGGACTTCTTGTTGGTATTCCTCTTCTAAAAGACAGCATGTTTCTGTTCCTTGTCCCTTCCCTTCCCCTTCCCTCCTCTCCTAACTGCAGTATGCCTCCTGTCTGTTCTCCTACCTTGTCTGTGGCTACCTCCTTCTTCTCGTTCCTCTTCAGAGTGACCTTAGTCACTGCCTATGTTACAACAAGTTCACCAATTTAATATGTGGGAAATTCTGCAGGCACAATGACAGCCACTGAACTGCACTGTTGATTATTCACGCTGTGCCAACAGAAAGGATCTGGGAACTCTGGCAGTAAAGGCACAGTTCTGGATGAAAATGCCTACAGACCTACGTCGAGGAGATGGAGGGAGTGAAGAAAGAGGGAGGGAAAGCGGCAGTTACCTGTGCAGATCAAATGCTGCTCACTGCAGTAGTCTGGGGCATAAAGAGGCAGAAAAGAAACAGAGTAGAAAACTGAAGTGGAACTGATTCACATCTGCCACGCTTTCTAAACATTTGCACTGCACAAGCAGCTGAATTACACCAGAGACTATGGACTACAGATTGGCCACAGAACAGCAGATTCAACTCCTCTGCAGAGAGATTACTTTCAAGATGCACCCTGGTGACTATACTTGAGATCTAGGAGACGTGACAGGACCAAATCCTTGCCATAAAGAATCTGTGAGTTTTTGCCTTCAACATATGATGATTTTCCAAAATCTGAATCAGCCTCTGAAAAAGAAAGGGGAAATCTTTCTCCAGCTGCCAGTCAGAACATCCTGCCACAAAAGGCACGTTGCCTTCATTTGGCTGGACACAGAGCATTCACACAGAGACTGTGCAATGCTCCATAGTTCACTGGCACAAGTTAGCACCCAAACCGGAGCGCACGACTGAGGTACAGTCATCCTCATAGCAAAGCCCTGCCCCTGCTACCGTACCTACGCTTACTCCTGTGTACCAGGAGTCATATTCCACACTTTGCTGGGCTGATTCAGCCTCTGCTTCCTTTCCATTGGTTGTGTCAGGGACGGAAGAAGGTCTGTCTTTCATGGGGAAACATAGGAAGGTCACTGAAGGACTAACACCACTTGGCCTGCTCCCTTCCTGCAATTTGGGCTTCAGCCCACGTTAAAAGTTAAACCCGCATCTAACCTACACCCCTACCCTACAAAACACCTCCAGATTTGAGGTGAATGGAGGGGGAAGTAAGGTTAAAACTCAGTCAGGACCCACATTAACTCTTCAGGGCAGACACAGCCACAGCAGGCAGGATTAAGTCCAAATTTGGAGCAGTCAAGTGGAAACATGGTAGACTAGAAAAGGAACAAGTCTATGATCATTTTGTCTCCCTCCTCGTCAATGGCGTAGCAGCAATACAGACACACTGTTCTTTTAAAAATAAAAGTGCAGCCACAAGTACTGGTGGTTTCCTTTATTTATACCAGAAAATCTTTTCTCGTGGAACAAACAAAGAGTGTTTGTCTGACTCCTCTACAACTTCCCATGCCACAAAACATGTGGAAGGCTCTCTTGAGCACAAAAGGGTAGGGGCTGAAGCTAAAATTACAGTCTCCAACCAGAGTAAGTCCATCCCAAATAAAAACCTGTCACAAATCAACATCTCAGAGCAAGCACAAAATGGTCAAAGACACAAAATCACCTTTCACCTCAACCCCAAAGCCCCCAAGAGTTTCAGCGGAAGGAATTACAGGGCCGCCCTTGTGGAACAGAGGCACATCATCATCTCCTCTTCACAGAGGAGAAACTGAGGCATTGGGAGAGGATCTCCAAGGTCATACAGTAGGACAGAAGCAGAGCCAGGAAGGTAACACCTACAGTCCTAATTTCTAGCTCACAGGTGTATCTGCACTGCAGAACCCAGAAATAGCACCAAGGCAACAGCACCAAAGTCCCATCGCTCACATTGCCAGACCAACTTCTCCAGCAATCCCATCAGCCTTCTGTTGAACTCTTCCCCTCCCTGGGAAGGTAGTCAGCCACCACAAATGGCACAGATGAGGACACTGCCTCTTCTCTACCAACAGCAGAGGACTGGTTACCAAAATAAGCCCCAGAGCAGGCTCCATCTTGATCCCTCTGGA